GATTAGATTTGGTTCATTGGGTTGTATGACAGACTAATGTGAAAGTGTGGTAGCACCCTACTGCATATATGCATTTGCACTTTCTGCACAGATGAAGTCCAGTCTTCTGTTTCGGCTGTTCAGGTCATTAGTTCCTCTGACTGCTGTTTTTTCATACAACAGCCTGCGTCTCAAGTCAAGTACTGCTTTTTCAATTTTTCTATGTTGTGAAAGTGTGTTTAACTTGAAAATTCATTGTTTGTCTTTAACTTGAAAATTCACTATTCATCTTTTCCACCTTCTGCGCTGTCTTCTCTACTTTATTCAGTCAGTGTCATGTATTCTAAGAACCACTTCACCTAAACGTTTAATACATATCTTATGACATAAGATCTAAGGATATAAAGCGATCCATGTTCCAGAAAAGTACAAGAAATTATAATAATCAGAAAAACCAGAAGTAATTCTTTATGTTGTGCGATGTTTTTTAGCACAAGTGTATTCACAGTTGTTAAAAATATTCTGCATCTGTGAATATAGCTAAATTAATGTTGTGTTTCCCAGTTTACAAGAAAAATGAATGGAATATTTGACAGCAATATTTTCACTTCAAAATGTGAGGGAGCTTTGCTTAATGTGAGTTTGTTTTGTTTTGGGTTTTTTTTTTAGCATGAGAGGAAAATTCACAGCTTATACATAGTTTGACAAGAAAGTGAATACCAACCATTTATTGAAACCTGTATAACTGCCTATGTAAAACCTGCTTTCAAAAGCAGAAATGAAGTAAAATGCAGTTACAGTATATTTACATCCCTTTAAATGTCTGCTGTTGCATTTCTAGTACAGCTGTGCAGGTTAGAGAAAGAGAGGAAAAAACATTGCAGCACTTCAGAAGGAATAAGCTCTGGAATATAACTTTACAAAAATTGCAGCACTGCAACTTGCGGACTTCGACTGGGTGGACATGTAAGTGATTGAGACTGCAAGAAATATCATTGCTGTGATGTCTCAGTGTGGCGGCTGGCGGCTCGATAAAGGTACAGAGCGGGCAGTCACAGCTGCGCAGTCCAGCTTTCGCGCAGAGATCCAGGCATCTGTAACCACTGCCTAGCATCGAGGGAGACTCCTCTGGAGACACTTGGGTGTAGTGGTTTCCTAGACATGAGCTGGGTTAGCCACCTGAAATGAGGTGTGGGGGCTTTCTAATCGTATCCATAATATCCTAAGAAATTGTCCTTTTTGTGTATGACACATTTTTCAGAAATATCTATGTAGAAGATTTAAATTTATTTTGACTATGTAACTGCGTTTCATCTCTGACCAACTTAGTGAAATCTCTCTCCCTCAAGTCCTACATTTTGTTGTGTAGTAGCAAACTGGTTTGTGCTCGTGGCTGGAAAGCCTCAAAATGTTTTTGCTTCACTGTTTATAAAATAGTATCTCACTGGTATATGTATAAAATATATAAAGAAAAGATGGAGCATATAAGTTTTCTCCCCTTTTTGTGGTGACATCAAAGAATATTTGCTGGGTAATGTGAAAGTGACATGACAGCACTATATCAACTATATTCTCTACGTTATCTCTCTGTTAGTGGATTTTTAGAACTGATTACAAATTCATTATCTTCATATCCATCGTGTTTTAACCCCAGCCAGCATCTAAGCCCCACACAGCCACTATCTCACTCCCCCCCAGTGGAGTCGGAAGAGTAAAAGTGAGAAAACTCGTGGGTTGAGATAAAAGCAGTTTAATAGGTAAAGCAATGCTGTGCATGCAAGCAAAGCAAAACAAGGAATTAATTCCCTACTTCCCACCAGCAGGCAGGTGTTCACCCATCTCCAGGAAAGCAGGGCTCCATCACGCCTAACGGTGACTTGGGAAGACAAATGCCATCGCTCTGAACGTCTCCCCTTCCTTCTTCTTCCCCCAGCTTACATACTGAGCATGACGTTGTATGGTATGGAATAGCCCTTTGGTCAGTTGGGGTCAGCTGCCCCAGCTGTGTCCCCTCCCAACTTCTTGTGCAGCCCCAGGCTACTCGCTGGTGGGGTGGGGTGAGAAGCAGAACAGGCCTTGACTCCGTGCGCTGCTCAGCAGTAATGAAAACATCCCTGTCTTATCAACACTGTTTCCAGCACAAATCCAAAACAGCCCCATACTAGCTACTGTGAAAAAAATTGACTCTATCCCAGCCAAAACCAGCACAATATCTTATGTACTTAAGAGTTAGTCCCTACAATTATATTTACCTCCTGGACATCTTTGTTTATGCAGATTAATTTACAAAATAATTACAGTTTCTTGGAGGAGTTCTTCAGGTTTAGATATATAAGAAAACTAATAAAATAAGCAAAACCCAACACATAAAATGTTACGATTTTATTCTGATTTCACAGTTTATTTCCTTCTTAATTTACTATAAGATATAGAATATCTTTTCCTCCTAAACTTTATCTTGTTCATTTTTACAGTTCCTTGATTCTATTATCAAACTGATTCTTTATCCTTTATAGAAAAGGATCAGTCCTACAAAATATCCTAGCAATACTGTAGGAGCTATAAATATACTTCATAAACCACACGATTTTATTTGGTTGCTAGTAAGTTCAGCTTTCTTGAAAAGAATAAACTTTCAAATAAGGGAATCTGAAAGGATAATGCACAACTGACAGGTCTCAAGAATAGGTGTTCAGTAGTATCTCATACAGTACTATGTGAGTAGTACTTTCTCATACGTTTATAAGCTAAAATGCTGTGAATACTCTAAAGAGTTTCTTAAATTATTGTGATGATATTTCATATTATGTTAGTTTCATTTTAAATATGTTTAATAAATATGGCCCAATTCTGCCATCATTGACTTTGGTGTTTACAATTAATAAACTTTCTGAATTCATTCTGGTTTATACTAATATATTTAAAATCAGAATTAAACACGTAGTATGCCAAAGAATTCTAGTTACACACATTCTCAGTCTTTAAGTTAGGCCCTTCTAACAATGCTGCTGTATTGTATGACATTTGCTGCTAAGTGACAGTAGGATTCTTACACTCTGGATTTAGTCCATATTTTTGAACACATGAAATATTTGAATATATCTCAGCTGATTGCATATGTATTTTTTAAAATCTGTCACTATTAGCATTTTACTTATGATATTTATCAAAAGGGCAAGTGATTGCATCTCAGCTTCATTTTTAATTTAAATACATTTTTAATTTAAATACTTTTGCATTTCCAGAGTTTTAAATCAGTCGTCTGTCTTTCCTCAGTAATAAAAATGGCATTCCAGTCTGAACCTCTTCTCCAAAGCACAGTGTCACAGTAATAGGATTTATTACTTTCATTATACTACTGCGACTGTGCTAAAGCAGTTGCACTCTGTGGTGTATCAAGTGATTTGGGATCTTAATCCAACAATACTGTCCCTCTGAGTAGAGATACTTGGATATTTTTTAACAGACTGGGGGAGAGAGCAAAAAACCTGATATAATAAAATTTTTTTATATAGTTGTGCTCATTTCAATAAGACCTTAGTTAGAAAGTTTTTTCAGGAGTTGGATAGGATTTTTGCTTGGGAAGAGAGAATTACCCCAGCAGAAGTAGCAAAGAGCTTAGTGGTAAGGGTGCTGCCTGTGTCGGAGGAAAACTGGGCTCCTGTCGGCCTCTGCCATAGCCAGGGGGACCAGAGCTGCTGCCAGGAGAGGTCCCAGGTCCCCAGGCTGTTGGCTGGGGTTCGTGTCTCTATCCACTCTGTACAGATCATATCATGTGTATGAACCTTAAAAAAATACAGCCTGTGTCCACACTACTGAATAAAATACGTCATCTGTTCCTGATGCCAAAAGGAGAAGCCCCAAGGCTTTTCCCCGGAGGACTGACTGCCTCCTCGCTTATTTGGGTGTATTGCCTGGGGTGCCTGCTGGCCTCTGAACTGCTCCCGTGTGGTTTTTGCAGTTTTTTGTCAGTAGCCAAAACTTTGCCAAGGAGCATACTCTCAGTGAATAGTATGAAGGAGCTCTGCCCTGACTCTGGTTTGTTTACGAGTATAGACTTAACCAGACAACAGGTATGGGTAATAAAGAAACTCATCTGGGCAGATGGAGAGAGATAATTAGTACCTGGCATATTCCTGGTAAATGCTTTAGGCACTGGGTTAAAGGCTAATTTAGGAAATCCTGGTACCTGTGCTAGTAATTTATACAAGGATTGAAGTGCTCTACCTGTTGACTGGATAAGCAGTGATTTTTTGGAACTTGTTTCTTTGGTGGTTCGGTTGGTTAGTTGTTTTCTTGTTTTTTCTCTTTTCTAATTTGGTAACAGGCAGAAAAATTGGGGATTTTTCTCTTGCGGCCTTACTTGGTATTTTGTGTGTGCTTTTCATTTTGCAAATGGCCTGAAGTTGCATCAGGAGAGGTTTATATATTGGGAAAAATGTCTTCACTGAAAGGGTTATAAGACACTGGAACAGGCTGCCCAGGGAAGTGGTCGAGTGCCCATCCCTGGAGGTATTGAAAAGATGGGTAGACGAGGTGCTTAGGGTTGTGGTTTAGTGGTGGACAGGTACGGTTGGATTCGGTGATCTTAAAGGTCTTTTCCAACCAAATGATTCTATGATTTTCTGGAAAAACTATGGCAAAAGATTGCTATGGCAGTTTGTTGCAAAAGCATCCTCTCTAGAAGAAATTGTCAGGTGCTAATCTCATCCACATAATGATTATATGGAATTTATTCTAGAGAAATCATTCTTTCTGCTGTATTTCAGGAAGGGTGACCTCACAGATGAACAACAGAACCTGGAGTCAGGACGTGTGGGTTCTGCTCCAGTGATTTTCTTTGGCTGTGAAGTCTGTTTCTCTGTGTATCAGTTTGGCAGTAACGTGTGCAGAAGCATGACTTTTGTGGATAGTTTTGTGACCCAGATCCAGGAGCAAAAAAGAAGAGTTCTTAATGTAACTACTGTCGTTTGACTTTCAAAATGCAAAATGTCCTGCTCATAATATTTTGTTTATTGCAGTGATAGGCAATGGCACAAGTTAAGATGCAGACTACGGCAAACCTGTCCGGACCTACCATGTCCCCTATGGTGCTACCCCTACCAGTTACAACTACAAATACACTGGGTCTGCCGTCCTCAATGAACGGATCCATTTCGGAATCAGCTGCCAGCTGTAGCAGTCCTACTGCCGGCCTTGTGGATCCTGCGCCTTCTAGCAACTCACCAGGTAAGTTGGTATATTTTCTTTGGTGTTCAAATTAATCTTTTTGATGACTTGTTAATTAAAAAAAAAAAAAAAGTTAGGTCTTAAAGAGGATTAAAATAAAGAGAAAAAATCCTGTAGAAAAATATTTTGGCTAAATAGACTAAGTTAATTTACTAAGTTAAGTTTCTTTAACTGAGCATTTACTTACAGTGAAGTGTTGATCAATGATATAAAAGCTCAGAAAAGTGCATGTCTGTTTTGTCAAATTCTGAGTGTATCTTTTATAGAGAAGTTTTAGTGGTGCAGGAAGGTCTCCAAGTGTATTTCTTTTCCCTAGAACAGAATGTCTTCTGACTGCTTGGCAGTATTCAGTGTTTCCTTTGTGGCCTAATAAATGCTGTAGTTCCTATGTGGAACTGAGTATAAAATACAGAAATGTTATCCTAAAAAAATAAGCAAGAAATGAGAGTGTGTGTTAGGGATAAATACAAATAAGTTGAAAAAGAAATGGCAAAAAATTAAAAAATAGTAAAGCAGTATACATGAAGTAAGGAGTCTAAGAAAAGCAGAACAAAATCTTTAAAGAAGGAGGAAAGGTGTTCTTTGGGAGGGCTCCGAGAGTGTCTTCATCATTGTGAGAAAAGTCTAAAACACTGGGAAGGAGCAGGGAGAAGCAACTGGGGACCACAGAGTTTCACCTGCTGTATTTATCTTGCATCTCATATGCTATCCACTTCTGCCTCAAAGAGTTCAGAAACCATTCTGAAAGAGTGGTCAGTTCGTGGAACCAGTGTACCACTGACAGTAAACTTGGTGACATAGAAAATGTAGCATATGTATATGTCCTCCTATGCGGTCATCTTTTATAGAGACATTTCTTTGGAAAGAAACAGTTGTATTTTTTTAAATTGCATGTAATCAAAATGGTTATTGTAAAATGCATATTCTCATACTATTAATATGTAAATAGTATTTAAACATATTTAGCATATTTGCAAAAATTATTTTTTAGCCAAAGTATTTTCTTTTCTAAGCATGCTGCTGCTTTTGCAAAGCTTTGTGAAGTTGTGAAGAATACATTTCTCCACAAAAACTTTACAGACTCTTTATTTACAGCTCCTCTCCAAGATAACATGGCAAACCCCAAAGAGAAAACTCCAATGTGTCTGGTAAATGAGTTAGCCCGTTTCAATAGAATTCAACCCCAGTATAAGCTTCTGAATGAAAGAGGGCCTGCTCATGCCAAGGTAAGGTCATAGTTCCAGGTGATGAGCCATACCTTAAATGCTGAACAGATAATGTCATGGTCTGGACGAGTGCGCTTGTCAAACACAGCCACATTTCTAGTGTAAGGGGTTTCTTACTATTCTTTATTTTGCTTTCTTTTATTTTTTTTTACGCTTTCAGAAAGTATGTCTGTATTTCTGTTGAAGCCCTGTAGATCATTTTGTACCTTACTTTGACTTCCACCTTTGAGTTTGTATTTGTTGGTCTCTATAAAGACCTTGTGAAGGTCTTTCCAGGGTATCACCACGCTTTCTTAATCATTATGGAGTGTTTGCTTTTTGAGCTGCATGAATCCTTCTCTCCAGTCAGCGTGCCTCTGATAACTACCTCTGCATTTGTTTCATGGTAGTGCAGGTGGCAACAAAACTAGTTCGTGTCATTTCTTAAAGTCCTTACTGATACGATTCTGTGTCCATAAAGTTGATTGCATTGGTACTGCATCTTTGGATCTTGCATTGTAGGGCACAAACTTTATTACTCTTCTTTCCTTTAAATTCTCTGCAGCTAAGATTTACAGTGATATTAAGACTCCTAATATAATTATAGGATTAAAGTTTCTAGTGAACTGACAGTTAATTCTGGTCAGTTCTCATACCAATTTGGATATGCAACTTCATTTCATAAATACAAATTAGGATGCTTTCAGATGATGGGAAACACAGAGGGATATTCTCATTATAATAATTTTCAGAAATAATTTTGAATTTCCTCCCTAGTTAGGAGCAATCTGGGAGAGGAGAAGAAAGCCTGAAAAACTCCGAGAGAGACAGCGGTGTAATTAATAGCTGCTTTGTACTCAGTATTTCTAGAATGGCAAAGCTGCGTGAGACAGCAGGGTAACAGTGTCAGCTAGTCCTGGGCTGTCTCTCTGCCGTTGCCCCTTGTTTCTCAGTTGCACATTATGTTGTCAGCTAGCACAGAGTTGATGCAAATCACTGACCTTCTGGTTTGGCTGGTGTTCATGCATCCTTTATGCTGGTGGAAATGATGTCAGCAGGTGCAGGGCTGCTGAGAATCCACAAGTTTTAGGATCCCTCATTGCAAATGGAAATTGAAGTGCTCTCCCCCTTCCTGGGGGCGTTTGGCACCACAGGGTGCATGGGTTGATTGGTTGAAGTTGTGGCATTGTACATCTGTTGTGCTTTCTGTAATTTTTCACTGTTGTGTTGTATATATATTTTGTTACCCTTTTTTCCATCATTGTGAAATAAGGAGTGCTTTGGTTGTACCAAAAGGCGTGGTTTTGCCTGTTCATACTCCTCAGCAGTAAAGAGATTTGAGTTGCATTACATTCGTACTACACTTTAAATTTTAGCAGCATAAGAAATACCTCACATATATTTGGTTTTACTTTTAAAAGAACTAATATAATTGAAATGACTTGAGCCTTCATTAGCTGCACTTTTGAAAGCCAGATTTTCAATGGATTTCTTCATTTTTGAGTTTTCAATTTACCTCTTACTATTTTTACTTACACTCATAGTGATCAAAGAAAAGGATATGTGCTCTGTAGACTCAGAAGATTATTAAGTCTGATTTTGACCTGTGCAGCAAATAAGAAAAACAAAGGAGGGAAGGGGATGAAGAACAAGGGTGATATTAATAAGATTATGCAGACTTGTGTGCCTTTGACCGACGAAAAGCAGAGACATAGAAATTATTATGACTGTGTTAGCAGTTTAGTATAATGTCTTGCTAGTGGTATGATGATATACCTGATAGAATATGTGAAACAGAGGTGAGTTTGCCCTAGAAGGCAGGACCTGAAGGATGTAATGCTGCTGGTGCTGTTTGCCATTTAGAGGAGTGTCTTACGTTGCTTTCCTCCTACACATACTCTGTTCCTGTCCGCTAGTGGTTTTCATGATTTTCAGAGACATGCTCTGCAAGACAACAGTCTGTGTCATGATGATGAATGCTAGTAAATTTTTATATCTTTTTTCCTAATTGTCTCTGGAAAGTAACTTTTGACAATTGGGGTGATATGGGAAACTTGGAACAGTAGAGCTGAGAGAGATGTGACGCTTCCTGACAGTGCAGTTAGGGTTTCTAGGAGTCTGCCCTCCAGGTGGATTCTCCATCATAAGAAAAATCAGAAAGTCTTTATTATCATAAATTACATTTTGGAGTACATCAGTCAGATTGATCATTTCTTCTGTGCTTCTATGCCAATAGCATCTCAGGAGACAAAAGAAACAGAGGCAAAAGAAAGTGGATGGTGGTACGGAGAAGAGGGAAAGGGGTAAGGGACATAGGACTTCAAAAGGCCGGGAAGGAGGAGACAAAGTTCTACATGCAGAAAAAGTGAGGAGGAAAGAATTGCCAGAGCTAAGGGAGACCGACCTTACGAACACAGCAGAGTGAAAACAAGCACAAAGCATGGTGGCCTTTGCATTTCCGCTCTCTAGCCATCAGGTAAATTAGGTTGGACATTAGGAATACAAACTTTCTCAGAAAATTGGTGAGAGATGCCTCTCAATCTGTAGCAGAACTGTCAGCTCTGGTTTTGCAGAACTTGACTACTTCATTGGCTGCTCCAGATTTTAGTTTTAGGCAGTTTTATTCCTTTACTTAAATTCCCTCCTGTGTGTGGTTTTTTGCAGTAGTGTTTTTGTTGTATGGCCTAAATGAAAAGGCTAGAGCTCTGGCTATAGAAATTTACTGAGCAAGCCCTTCATTATCTTGAATTCCCGTTTATTGCTCTAAGCACTAAGAGGAGAGTTACAGGTAGATAAGTAGCCATTATACACTATATCTATTGACATTCAAGATTATTCTCCTCCTATAAAAATACTGCACTGATACCTTCTTGCAAAATATAAAATATATAAACTCCAGATCCAGAAATCAAATTTCAGTTCTTTTAGTAATAAGGATGTGTATTTATATAATTATGGGTGTTTAGCTCTAATACCGAGCTTAGCTTTTAGGTGGAGGTAGGGTTTGACAGAGTGCAAAATTAAGAGACTCTTTCTGTCTTCCCCCTTGTCTGTGAGGAAATTGTTATGACTGCTGTGGAAAAAATAACCTGGTGATAGGAACTGTGATATGGGGACTTGCACTGTGCTTCTGAAAATTACAGTAGGCCAAAAGTCAAGCCTGTAATTAAGATGGAAATATGTATTTATAGCATTCAGTTCATATGCACTGTGTGCATGTGCATAGGGCTGAGTTAGGAGGCACATACATACCTGTGTTCAAATGCTTGTCTGCAAGTACATGCTAAATGAAAATACCTGTCAAGGCAAATTTAAAGGTTGCCCATCACGCCCATCTCTAGATACCTGGTCCTGGATCTAGCAAATTTAAATAATTTTTAAAATTATAGAGCAAATAACTGTTGAAATGAAAATTTTACTTTATATGCTGCTCACACTAATGTTTAGATTTCTTTATGTTGCCTCAAGTTAGTCTGAGGTAGGTATATCCTAGTTTACTGTGTGTAGCTGACTATTAAATCCTGCCTTATATGTATGGAATTGATAAGGAGTGCTCAAATTTAAATAGAATATGTATGTGTCATATGGAAGATAGACTCTATCTAATATCTTAAATGTACATAGAGTTTTATCTTCATGACTTGCATAGCATAGATACTGCTTGAAATAATCCTTTATTGCAGATTTTAAAATATATATGTTTTTTATCAGTAGTCCGTTTCTGAATTTTTACAGTTCCGGTCTTCACTATAGAGTCCACATTAAAGAACTGCAATTTCATTCAAAAAGATCATACTTTTCTTTCTCACTTTATATTTTTGAACATATTTGAGTTGTGACTCTGCCCTAGCAATACACATTATTTTCAGAAATCGGGTTGTGTGAGAAATTCTTTCACTGGATAAAACTATTTAAGCCAAATTCTCTGCTGTCTTGAAGAGTGTGCAGTCATTTCTATCCATTCAGAATTATTGCTAAATTACTTTTTTTTTTTTTAGTAGCATTCTTTACCTGTTTTCTACAGGTAAAGTGACTAAGCACATTCAAATGTGTGAAAAAATGTGGTCTTGACTGACCTCTATATAGTATTCCAAGAGCAGAGGATCAGTTTGCAGTTATTATTACTTGGTTTAAATAGTATTCTCTTCTTTGATAGTTGACATTAACATTACACTATTTTACTTTGTCATTTGAAAGACCAGCTGTTTCCCGCTGATAAGGGCTCACTGATCTCTGTAAGAATCAGATGCGGAATCTGGGAGTTGAATATAATGAAGAGAGAGCACAGTTTCTCTTCAGCCCTGGAAGTTTTTATGCAGATGGGTCTAATTCACAGTGATAATCTTGCCAGTGTTTACCTGTTCTTTGTCTTTGAAGATGTTCACAGTGCAGCTGACTCTCGGAGAACAGACCTGGGAAGCTGAAGGAAGCAGTATTAAAAAGGCCCAACATGCTGCTGCTAGCAAAGCATTGAATGAAACTACCCTTCCCAAACCAACGCCTAGACCACCCAAAAATAATGTTAACAATAATCCAGGTATGACATTTTCCTCTGTGAAATAAATCTTGTTGAATTGTTAGAATATTATACCACTAATTAAATTAACTGAGATATTGGTTAAGTTGGACAATGAGAATCAATATAGCTGTCTTATAGGTACAGTAGTATAATAAAGAACCTTTAGTGAGTTTGCACAGGAGAATTCTTAATGCCCATACCTAAAATGGTTTAACTGTAAGTGAATATGATTTTTTAGATAAGGCTCAGGTGTATACAAAGTTGTGAACAATCAACAGTAGACAGACAGGACAAAACCAGATTGAACTGACCATTATTACCATAGGAAAACATTTTTCTGAAGTTATTTTAGCTAATTTTCCAATGAAAGGGCCAAATTTTACTCAGTCCAATCCTGTGAAATTGCATCCGTGGTGTAAATAAGAGGTCAGGATTTGGCATGAGAGCTTTGACAGATGATTCTTCCACAGTCAGTTTTCTTTCGTAGCAACCTGTGCTTTCAAAAAACTTTCAAACAGCTTTAGAAACTGTTGTTTGAATAGTAGAAAGAATGTATATTGGTGTCTTGCATCCTTCATTTCGTGGTGTTACCTGTGAGTTGCCTTCTATGCATGCAACACCTTTTGAGGTACGCATCTCAGCCATGTGCTCAGTGATCTGTTCTGTCTTGCTTGATAAAATAAAATTTCAAAAAATATTCCTAACTTTATTTCACACTAATATAAAAGAGAACAAAAGGTGAGGAAAAAAGTAATCTTTTCCTTTCTTTTTTTACACTCCTCCCCACTCCCCTTTCCCCCTTTTCCCTTCTTCCCTTTTTATTTCCCTCTGCCATCCCCACCCTTTTAAAAAAAAAGTCTTCTTCAGCCACTTTCTTAAATTTTGCAGTTGATCTTCTCTATGTTAGAAAAAAGCAGTTTCCTTTAGAGTAAGTTTCCTTTAGAGCTTGTGAGTATTATCCTGAGCATTAGCCATTAAGAATTGTTTGAGAGTGATGCAATAGTATTCTTTTGCCCCTTTGGAGATCAATATGTGGCTTCTCCAGACCCAGGACACTGGTTTTGCCCTGTGTCCTTTGCAGTCACTGTGGCTTTGGCTGTTTAGAAAGCAGGAGATTCACACCTCTATAAAAAGGGATCTTGGGTTTAATTCTTAACATTCCAGATTTTTTATGCTTAAAGGGAAAAGCAAAAGAAATAGGCTTTAAGAGAATTCATTAAAAAATTGTATCATCACTTAACACTGTAATTTTGCCCTAAGAAAGGTGCATTGTATATGCACGGGTATCTTCTCTTCAAAATGACGTTTTCCATTTTTATTATATAGTTAAATTCACAGTCATTCTTTGCTCTGGAAAATATCAAAAGTGTTGTTGATAGAAGTATTTTAATAAGTATTGGTTAAAAATTTTCATCATTTGGCCTATAAAGCCTCAGTGGCAGACTGGCAAATTCATCGTAGCTGTTTTAAGGCTAGATTATTCTGAACCTTTTATGAAAATATTTTGATAAAATATTAACTCCTTTTTATTGGAATGTACATTTAACTCATTTAGGATTTTCTTAAAACAGCACAAGTGGGGAATACTGTAGCTGAACATTTTATTTAAAGAAAAAATATATAAATGAAGCCACAGTGTAGCTTTTTATTTGGCGTTTTGGTGACCACGCAAGTGGGCAAATGCTGGCTGCTTTCTATTTTTGTATTCTGTCACCAGTAGATGGCTGTAGTGACAATGATTTCCACTAGCTGTATTTTCAGTTTGCTAAATCATTAGTTTTTAGTCATAATCTGAAGTTTTCAAGTCTTGCAAATAAAACATTTTTTCGAACTTGTAAGATTACCAAATGGCTGCAGTAATGCCTATTACTGGTGGCTTGTTTCAACCCTCTTTGCTCTATTTGTGTTTTTATTTAATGGTGTTCAGTGGGAAGAGACATTATTCTTTTATCTTTATAGTTTCAGAAAGTGTCGTAGTGTATTATAAGCACTTTGGAAAGATGAATAACCAGCTTGATTATAGCACTGACTTTCTCATTCACATGTGAAGATTAATCTACTGAAACTGCATAGAGAATGCACTGAGATAAATGTTTAAATGTTCTTCTTCATTGCTTGTGATTAAGTTGGCATCTATATTCCCATCTTAGAGAAACTGAAATGTCATTGTAGTTGCTGCTTTTTTAATTTAAGGGAAAAAAAATATCATGCAGGTCTCTCTTTGCTGCTCATCTTAGTTCTGCTTGTGTGTTTTGCAGTATTTATGGTTTAAGTGCCTTACATGTATTCTTTGTTTTTTGCAGGCAGTATAACTCCAACAGTGGAGCTGAATGGTCTGGCTATGAAAAGAGGAGAGCCTGCCATCTACAGGCCATTAGATCCAAAGCCAATTCCCAATTACAGAGCAAATTATAATTTCCGGGGCATGTACAATCAGAGGTTTGTACTTTTTCTGTTATTTGATGGGTTTTATCCTTTGCTTATCAACATGTTCTAAATATTTAAGAACTTTGTAGGTTATTTCAGAGTAAAATAAAACTAAGGTTTTTACTAAGGAAAGTCTGTGCAGCCTTATTTAGAAACACACATAGCATATTTTATCAGTGAAAAATGTTGCCTTTCTTATAAAGGTTTGCTTAATGGATTGCCTACTAATTTTTATGCATCTTGTACCTATCTAAAAGAACGAGATTATGAACTCCGAAGAAGTGCTTTGGTTCAAAATTACTCTTTTATTAGAAATTTAATTTACAGCAATGTTTACAAATTAAAGAGTTTGAAATGAAAATGCAGCATTTCAGAATTGCCTAACGAAAATATTTCAGTTGGCTTAATTTTATTTTACTTTTCCCCAGATTTTAAATTATGATAACTTTAGGGCTTTATTATTTAATTCTGATTTTTTTTTTTTAATTGGAACAATACCTAGATCTGTAAAAGACAAACAAACAAAAATAACCTGGAATAAAACTCTTTCAGAGCTATGGAGCTACTTTCTACTCTGCAGAACACTGCCTGATTATTGTATTACTTGTGTTGTATTTCTAGTCACTTCTGACCTGAGTCCCTGATAACATACGCCATGGTTAAAAAAGCTAACTATGGTGCCTGAAGTGAGTTTTGTTAACATTTAGAAATCCTAAATTTATTTTAATTGCTTTTATAATGAGATTATTTTGACTAACGGATAAAAAGATGAGGCTGGAAAAAATGCAAGCTAATAAAAAAACATAAAATGAGGGATTCTGGAATCTGAACTTTGTTACTGAAGCACATTTGTGGAAGCAGAACCTTGAAACACTTACCAGTTGCTAACTTTTAAGATTTTATTTCCTTTCATAGAAAATGATGAATAAGTCTAGTGCAATCTTTTAAGTTTCCTTCTTTGGGAACCTTCTTTCATGGGAAACATATTCCCATGTTAGAGTAATATGGTACATGAGCTTTATTTCTCTGGGCGCATCAGGTAGCCAAGAGCATTTGATTTTTCTTATCACAGAACAAACAATTGTTTGTTGGGTGGGACAGAAAGTCAGAATCTCTGCTTGCCTGCTTCGCTGTGCATGTTTGAGTGCAGTTGCCCACACAGGGTGGCTAATAATACTGTGGCTAGTAAATTGATAAATAACTAAAACTAAGTAGTAAATAACTAGATACGCCTGTCTATCTGCATAAACACATACCCCCTGTGCATATACCAACTCACACATGAATAGCAGAGTAAAGAGGGTACAGAAGAATGATGCCATATACTGCTATTTTAGGACTATTGCTCTGTTGGAAGTAATTGTTCACCGCCTTACTTTGCATTGGGAGGTGCTAGTCCATTATGACCCCAGCAAGAAAGGCACTTAGACTGGTAAGGTACCAGGGTTGTTAACCATTGGAAGGGGCTGCCCAGGGAAGTGGTGGAGTCCTCATCCCTGGAGGTGTTTAAAAGACAGGTAGACGAGGTGCTTAGGGACATGGTTTAGTGGTGGAATGGCAGGGTTAGGTTAACGGTTGGACTTGATGATCTTACAGGTCTTGTCCAACCTAAATGATTCTATGATTATATGATTTAAAATGCTATTTATTAGAGCTGATGGTATAAGAAGAGAATAGCGCAGATAATCTTCCACACCTTTAGATGCTGGGAGCCCCAAGCGATGTAGCATCCAACAGGACTGCAGCCCATGTGCAGCATGCTGGGCAGACCTTGGCTGCGGCAGAGATCCTCCGCTTCTCGGTCATTTACGCTTTTACAGGATTGTCTGGCGAGGAAACAACTCTGTCATTGCTGTAGTCCAAAGAGAAACAATGTTCACACGAGAACTTCTTGCTGCTGCGCTGTTAGATAAAGGCAGGTGGTACTGAGGGGAAGCTGCCCGCGGGCCCCTCTCTTGTAGCGAGTCTGGCCTGTGGCTGAGGGATTTGTGCAGCACAGCCCCAAGTCTGAGACGCCTCTGCATCTGTTACAATAGTGAGCGAAGTGCCATCTGTGAAGCACATGCTGCAGTACTGTATTATGTTCCCGTGGAATGATAGGTTACGTTTATTATCTCCTACTGCCATGCTGTATTTAGCATTTGTTTGCTGATTTTTAGCAGCTAGGTAGTAGAATAGAAGTGTTGTTGGAGTTCCCAAGTAAGTGCAGACCATATAGACTGTTTAAAAATAAGATTTGAAAAATAACGTAGGTAGTATGCTGTAATCAGTATTGTTCATCAGTTTTTGACTGTAGATTATTATCTGTTACTAAAACAGATACAAAATATGCTAAGTAAGTTGGAAGCTGTTTTTGTCTTTTATACTGTGACTAAATTCCCTTTACTGATCTCTTTTTAAAAAGATGTGCTTTTCAAATAGGTACAAATTAAGATTTGGTGACTGTGTTAGGGAACTTCAATTCTGGCAAGATGAGTGACTTGAAGAAAAAATAAAGAAAGAAGTTCATCCCAGGGCATGTTTTTAGACCAGTTAAGTCTAGTGTTTCAAGGGGCACAAAAGATCCTTTTCAGTAACTCATGGAAGCGTGGTCTAAGAGCTGCTATTTGTATGCAAAGTTGAGGGCTAGCTTCCATGTCAGGCTAAGATGATTTATGTCAAGGTGGCAGTGATTCCTCCTCCTTCCTTTTGCCCGCAGATCTTGTGTCCCTGCAAGTCTCCTGGCTTCACCTCTGGGAGTTGAGCTGCTTGTAACTGAATCAATTTAGGGGGCGAGAGGGATGGAGAAGTTACTCCTAGACTTAAAACTGTCCTTAAGCTCCTCACCTAGTCACACAGGAGCTTGTGCCCTCACCGGAGAGGGGGCAGGAATGTGTGTTTGGAAGTGAAGGGCAGCTCAGGTTAATTCAAGCATGTGAAGAACTACATTCACATGCAGTGGGGCATATTTATACGGGCAGTCTGTTGCACAGAGAATGTTGAAACAGGGTAACATGCAAGATGCAAAAGTCCATTTGCAAGGTGTAGCTGATGGCATAAATTGATACTGAAGATGAAAGTTGCTTTTGCTGATGGCATAAATTGATACTGAAAGTGAAAGTTACTTTTGTGGAAAAAAAGAAAGCGGACAAGCGCAAGGAAGAAATGAGAAAGGGGAAAGTTTTGCCAGTGGCCAGCTTGGAACGGAAGTGATGGTGTCTCCCAGATGAGCATCTTCCTCCCGGTATCCTTCCCCATGCAGCAAGTGTTCTCCACAGCACTTTCCCACAGTAATTCTGTGGTTTTCATCAGGACCTGCTCAAGCTCCTGGTTGCTTATGATGCTGGTAGTGCTGCATCAGGGCAGATGTTGAACGCTGGCTGCTTATTGAGCTTTGTGCATGCATGTTATTGGGCTCTCTAATGTATACCGAAAGCTACTGCCGAAGGATTGGAAAAAGGCAGAGGAGAGAAGGGCTATGGTACAGTACGGATACAACACTGTCAACGTACTGCTATTTTCAGGTGAAGGGCCTTGAGAATAACAGCATGGGGAAAACAGCAAGGGAAAAATACAGCTAGAGAAACTCTGGTAAACACTGGCCAGGTGGCTTAGGTGAAGGGTTACAGAGCTGCGAGCAGAAGGCAGGCTACAGAATTGCAAACGCAAAACTCTTAGCACAGCAGAGGGTGAGGCAGTTAAGGCAGCGTGTAACACCAGGGTAAGCTGGTAGCCTTGTGAGTCTCTTCCCGCACTAAGCTGGGAAGCGCGGGGCAAGTCTGCTCCTCTCTTAGGGGTAGATAAGTAGGCAAAATACAGTCCAGCTCGGGAGTGGATGAGGTATGGATGTATTAACCTGGCTCTTCACTCAAGCTAGTGAATGCAGTACTTGCTAGATTGTTAGCAGCATTGGGTCATTGCCATTAAACTGAATCTTGACCTGAGCTGATAAAGTCTGTGTGATGCTGAGCTGAATCACGTAGCGTTATCAGCTTAGGTCTCTGGTAGGTTGGGTATCTGTATACTGCAGTTCATTTCACAATATAGATAAGAACTTCCAACTTTATTCATCTCACTCTGATGAGACAGCTTGGGAGTCCTCTCTGGATTTTCTTTATTCCTGTAAAATTCAGGCAAGTTCGGTACTAGGAAGCTTGATGGGCTCTGATAAGGCAGAGCTTTTAAAAAAGCTGCCAACCCTGAATCCAGCCATGTTAGACAACTTTTTATTTAACAAAGGTTTCTATATTACTAACAGAGATTATAATAAAGAAAAAACCTGGTTTGGTGCTCAAAATTTACCAGTTGTATACTATCCATTTAAAGCCTCACAAGCTGGAGTTTTGAGCAATTTTGCAGCAAAGACACATGAGGACCTTTCAGTTCAAACAACATATATTACAGAAAAGCTAAAAATGGTGAACATTGCATTTTGTATGGCTTCTTTTATCTAAGAGCTTTACAAACTGACTCGGGCGGGAGGTGCTGATGCTTCCAGGGACTGTTTGCTAACTGAGTTACCTTGCACGTTTGCCTGCTCACCCTTTGGCACCATGCAGCAGAACTTGGCACACTACTCAGAAGAGGCCAAGCCTTGAAACAGAGGGTCAGGTTTGAGAAATGCTGGCAGAGCTGAGGATGAAACGTGTGCATACTACTCATATCTGTAGCCAATGCTAGAACCCCTACTCCCTCCCATCCCTGATTATGCAGTTGGCTTAAACCATGTAAAAAAAATTGAAAACATGGCTATTCAAATTTGAGCAATTAAACAGTAAGGTATCGGTTCTGACTACAGTGTCATCCAGCTTGCCTTGTCACCACTGAATGCTGATTTGTTGTATTAGATGTTATTTTTTCTTCAATCAGAACTGAAGAGAGTCATTCCTGAAGTTTAATTTTCCTGCAGTATTTTCAATTATAGAATGTCTGTAAGTGACAAAACAGAAATTATATCTTACAGACTTCTCTAAACTAAGTGTTTTCAGGTAGGAAATAAAACCAAGAAATAAAAAAAAAAAAAAGAAACTGAA